TTTAACAACCTACGAAGGGGTGCATCGATGGTAGAAAAGTTCCTTACAAACTTCCTATAATAGTTGGCTAGGTCTAGGAACGACCGCAATTCTGTCAACGTGCGGGGCGTTGGCCAATCTTTGATCGCTGATGCTTGCGAAACTCGCAGGCCACCTTGGTAACATACGCAAGGATGTCCCCCACCGCGACTTCGTCATCCGTCGGCGAAGTTGGTGGTGCATAGAAGGATAAGTACGTGTGAAGATGAGCGCATAATGCTGCGCATTGCGGTCCCGGCAAGCGACCCGTGGTCAGGAGAGGAAGCCATGCGAAATCCTCCGACGTGAGCGGGTCCAAGACCTCTATGTTGAACTCGTGAGCCGAATCCCGTTAAGAACCACTTGAAGACGATAAGTTGCCGCTGTCGGACGGAGAAGATGCTGCACACACGTCTTGTCCTTGAGCATAAGTACCCAGCGGAGGAATGAGCTGGGCAACATAGTCCTCATAAAAATATAAAAGAGGAGGACTATCGACTTTCGCATGTGCCTCGGAACGAAGGGCGGTCACCCGCGAAGCGAGCGGTTTCGAAGGCGTCGAGAGTGTTGTCGACTTACTCCCGGCGGTGCTCAGTTTCCTGATCTGCCTTTGCCTTTCGACGGGCAGCCCACTGTCTCATGGAGATCGCTGTTACACCATAGACAATAGCGGAATCTCGTGCGTGCCTTGTACGCCTGTTCGGAGAGACCGTAGTGGGACCATGGGGCTGGAGCTGGTGCGCCGGGCCTAGGGATATATGCGGTGTTTGTCTTCGTCTTGCCGCGTCCTCGACCTTTGTCGGGGCGGCCACCATCCCGGGTGGCTGCGAGTCTGTCTCCTTCATTGGTAGACACGACCTCGCTAGATTGGTCGGTCGGGGTTGCCGCCGCGACAATGGCCACTTCGGCCGATGTTGATCTCTGTTCGGGCCTGTCACAGACGAACGGTGGAGGTTCTTAGCCTCCTTGTTCGTGACAATAATTTGCGCGGCCTTGTTGAAGAGCTCCGTCGTTGTCGTCAGAGTGTCCCCGACGTGAGTTAAGGCGTTGCCCAACGCCGGACACGACCTCGAGATGAAGTAGTGTTTGACGACCTTGAAGCCCATTTGAATGTCTGGGACGGATGTCAAGCATTGATACTCGGCACTCCAGTCAACACTCGGCAGGGTGCCTTGTTCGGAGGTCATCAACTTGTCCATTGCCTTGATCTCCGGCGGCTCTACTTGGAACCGCTTATGTCACGCCGCCTTTAGATCATCCCAGCTGATCTTGGTGTACAAGTCGGCAGCTACCACCCCGTACTTGGACAAGAGATTGTCCAACCATGCTTGGCACGCGCCTCCCGACCGGGAGTATTAAGTACGCGTGATGCTTATCCTCGCTGATGTGGTGTAGCTGCAACTTGAGCTCGAACTTGCGGAACCATGGAATCGGGTCCGTCTTCGTCTAATCGTAGAAGATCTCCTGATCATCGAACCTTGGAGTCGTCTCGCACAGTGCCGAACTCGGGTTGGCGGCGGCAGCACAGATCCGCTGCTCCAGTTGTTGCGTGGCGGTTTGCTGTAGCTGCGTGTCGTCCTCGAGGGCTCTGACGTCGATCTCCAATGCATTGAGGTGATCGGAGGTGCTGGAGGAGCTGGCATCGGGGGCGGCGACGGGTCGTTGCTCCAGCTGCTGTAGGCGGTTGTTGAGTTGAGCTAACGCCTGGTTGTGCGTCTGATCCGCGTCGTCGAGGCTGTGGATGTCCTCCTGCTGTGCAATGCACGTTGCCAGGATATCCGTGAATTGGGAGAGGAGTAGAGCGATCTTGCTTTCACACTCTTCCATCTTACCATTCTCGGCCTCAGCTCGCCAGTCCGCTGCCATTGTGAGCAAAGCTCGCTCTCCGTTGAATATCTTCTCGCGTCGTTGATTTCATTCTTCATCGGCAGCCTTTGCTGCTGCATCATCTTGCTGGCGCTGCTGTTCGATTACCAACAGACGTGCCTTCTCGGCGTCCTCGGCCTTCTTCGTCTCTGTGGCTTCTACCTCATCCGCTCGTTCCTTGGCTTCGGTAAGCAGAGCCATCATCCGGGCCTGATAGGCCTCGGCCGTTTCCCCGGGCTTTTGATCCATGCCGGCTGTTTGTAAGCGCGTGAGCATAGATCAGGCCAGAGGACTGCTGACGTGGCACTCCCTGCTGCTCACGTGGCACTGCTCGGCTGCTGTGTCCTGCTGACATGGTCTGCTGATGTGGCCTGCTGGCATGGTCTGCTGACGTGGCAACTCACCAATGCCGCCGCAGGGGGTACCTGGAGACAGATAGAGAAGATAAGACCAGAGGGGGCAACAACATAGGTGGGGAGGGGTGGGTGGGATAAATCGCCCAGATAAGGAGCCACTAATCAATAAGAAAAGTTTGAACTTTGCAAAAAAATTCGAGAAAAAGAAAAAAATACTCGTTTGCAAGTTCGGTAGGCCTCCCAATTTCCCCTGAAGTGCGAAATTATGAATGAGGAAAAAAAATTCGAACTTTCAGACTGCAAACGAGTGTCGGATAAGAATTCTGAAAATAAAATACAAACAAATATTCGGAATTACTCAGATAAGAGTATGCGCAGTTTGGAAAATGGTAACTGCCAAGAGGGATTTCCCGTACCGTTTTTAACAACGAATTTCGGAAAAAAAAATATTCCGGATTTCCAAATAATGTGAAATTGCAAAAGGAAATCGAAATTTTCGAAAAAAAGGTATTCCGGATTTCCAACAACGACATTTCGAGTTTTCAGAAGAAAAACGAAAACGGAAATTTCAGGTGTTGCGCTATTGCAATTTTTCACAACAGAAATAACGGGAAAACAAAATCCAAGAGAAGAAAAAAATTTCGAATTTTGGCAGTGAGGTCAAAATCGTGATTTTGGGGGCTAACTAGTGTGCTCTAATCAATCAATCAAGACTAATCAGCTACTTAGTCCCCGCACACGTGTCAGATCAGGTTGTCCTGATTCACGTGTGGTGCTCTGATACCAACTGTTACATGCCCAGTTGGGCGATGTACATACATAACCGAGGATCCACAATGTGATAAAAAGGACTGAATGGACAATGCAGTGCTAGTGAAATCTCAACAAGCAGTGTACATCCTGATACATACAAAAATAGTGCTTTATAGCGCAGTGGAAGACTTAGATATAAGTCCTGACCTGACAGGGACTGACCTCCCTCACGTAGTACAAGACAACGCTGCAGAATTCTAGAATACTAAGAATACCAACGACTAGCCCAATCAATGTCGCAATGCAGACCAAACATACATCATCCTCATCACGAGGTGTGAAGGGGCCTGGCGCTACACACAGGAAGAATGCGCCAGGTGCAGACCATACACAGACGAAGAGGAGGGGATCAGACGAAGAAGAGGGGGAGAGATGGGAATGTCGTTAACACCAAGTCTTCGGTACAAGTCCCAGATAATCCCTCGTCAAATGTCTGAAGCCCAATGTCGAGTCTGGATCCAAATGTCACCAAGCCCGCTCTCTCGTAGTCTGCTGATGCAGTGAAGTCAGGTAGCGAGAGGGTGAGAGGGGGATGGTGGGCTGAGAAGTGGAAGAAGAAGAACTCTCTCTCTCTCTTTCTCATGTGCCAGGACTAACCTGTGAAGATGGCGCTGTGCTGCAGGTACCTCGAAGACGAAGCTGGAGCTATGGCGCTGCAAGTAAGTCTCCCTGGCCTCCGCCCAATCTCTCTCTCTCTCCAGTACTACTGTATCTCCTACTAGCGCCCAGCGCTGAAGACTACTGCTAACACTACTACTACTACTACTGCAGCGCTCCTCCAGAGTGCTGCTGCCGAATCCTGAAGACTACCTCCTGCCTCCTGAACTGCACGTGAAGTGCCTGGGAAGTCCCTATGAACTACCTGCAGCCTGCAGGGTGGGCCAGTCCTATATAGTGCTGGCCCGTCCAGGAGGTTGCTCTTGCCAATGCCGAAACGTGCCAGACCCCGGCGTTGAAGCTCAACCAAGGGTTGTCTTGAAAACAGGCCCAAAATGGCCTGTGCTAAACCCCTGGTCTGGTGCCTGAGTTTCAGGGCAGGTCGATCTTATGAGGGCCTGAAAATGGCCCTCCGTTTCTGGCTGAAAAGACTCAGGGCCGGAAAGGCCCTGTTTTAGGCTGAAACGACACAGGGCCTGTAGGCCCTTGTTTTCAGGCTTTCGGGCTGAAAACGAAACGGGCCTGAAAATTGCCCGTGCAGCCTGTTGCAGGCGCAGCATGTAACAAGATCCCTTACGCAGGTGTTATTTCAAAAAGGTAAAAAAAAAAAAAAAAAAAAAAGAGCAAAAGAAAAGAGACTACGAAAAATAGTAGAGATGGCATTGCAACCCTTTCCTGGATATGTAAATGTTGTTCAGGACCTCAGGTCCAAGGGTAAAACCTGACTGGGCTTCGAACCCAGCACCATCCTCATGGAACTCAGCCATGCAAACCATATGGGTTACCTCTTGGGAGTTCTGTTGCGTACGTTCTTTGTTTGGTGGTGGTGGTGTGGGCGAGGGGAGGGGGGGGGGAGGGATGGGGGGGGGGGGGGAGGGGAGCGAATTGTTCTTTGCACATGATATGAACGTCTGAAAAAAAAAAATCTTGTTTGTTAGTGAAAAAAGAAAGGTGTTCCTTTTCCACTTGATGTCTTCTAACTTCTAAGCATTTGTTGGCGTGTTCGAGTGATCGGAATTGTTCCTTTTCTTGTTCTTGTTTTTATAATTAAAAGAAAAAAGGGTTTTTTTTCTCCACTTGATGTGTCTTCTAAGCTGTTGCTGCCGTGTTCGAGTGTGATTGGAATTGGTCTTTTTCTTTTTGGGTCCGAAGTTCATCTCAAAGTTTTTTCGCTTGATTGAAATGTTTGGAGATCTTGGATTAAGCTTCTGTCTGTGGAAGACGCTTTGGACTTTCCTATTTTGGCAAGGACTATGTGGTAAGCTGTGAGATGATGCTATGGGTGTGCAGAGTGGCTATGGTACGGATAGGGACACCAACTGGGCCGCCCATCGATTGCAAAAGATGATGAGATGTCTTTGCCAGAGGACAGACGACTTGTATGAGAAGATTCATTTTCTTCAGGAAAAGAGGCTTTCGCTGGCAGATGGGAAGGTATCATCATTCATCTCAAAATTGAAAGGAAATCCTCTAAAATTAGTGAATCTTAAATGCGTATCAGAATCCTTTTTTTAATCTAAGCCCCCTTCCAAGGATATGGTTGTTTGACTCTAAATGGGTGTTTATTTTACCAACAGAAAAAGAAGTATATGGGTGTTTGACTTTGCTTGGCTAGTCCAGGAGATTGACTATCGTCTTCCCCCGAATACAATATGGTGGTTTCATTACATCTGTATTCAGCAAACCTTTAGCATCAAACTCAGGTAACATACCCGCGTTCAACCTGTGGGGAGATCTCTGGGTTCTCCTCTCTCTGTGGTCGTGGGTTCTCCCGCTCCCTCTTTCTCTCGCACACGAGTTCTACCGCTGCATACCAGGCCCTGAAGTGGTGGGATTTTGCAGTCCCATGCCAGGACCTTTTCTTTTCCTTTTTCTGAGGAGGTTCTTCTTTTTTTTTTCCTTTTCTGTTTTGTTTTTTTTTTCTGTTTTTTTTT